GATTGCCTATTCTAAAGAATCTAAAGTGTTCTCTGCCCCCAAAACCACATTTGAACCCATGAGAGGTCTGCCCCCCCATCCCTCGATGTCCTCGTTCTTGTATCATAATCTTCGGAGGGGAGTTTGTGAGTGAGATGTAGAGTAAGCAGCGGCTCAAATTTATAAGCCGTACACCTTTCCCGATGAAGCCTTTTTTCTGTTTTTTTGTTCAGGAAAATCCGCCCACGTCAACAGATAGGAGTGATGGTAAGACCGTAAGAGCATGCACTCCTGACCTGTTTTGCAGGGGGTTCCAGTCTATCGGTGGGGACACTGGGGAGTTATCACCTGCTGGTGGGAAGAGGGTCCAGCCATGAAATCTGTTGTTTGGGATATCCGAGATCTAAATTTGTGATCTTGGAAATGACTTTCCATCGCTATTAGGTGTATTTGCTATACAACAAGCTGAACGTTATCGTGTGTCCTTCCATAGCACCTTTTGAACCAGACACATTGCTTTGAGTGCAGAGTGAGGATGCGTATCTTCACGAAGGTTCTACTTATGTGTCCCAAGGAGAAGAGAACGAACTTGAGAACGTAGGCCTCACATGAGACCACCTGCCAAGTTAGGTCGGGAACACTGCGGCACACACAAGCATGCCCTCGTTGAACTCTGTCATCCGATGTATACACACATAGTCGGACTGTCTTGCTGGAGGTTGATCGCGGGCCTTTCAGGCTGTGAAGCCAAGTGTCTGGCTGGAGGTTGATCGCGGGCCTTTCAGGCTGTGAATCTAAGTGTCTGGCTGGAGGTTGATCGCGGGCCTTTCAGGCCGTGAAGCTAAGTCGAAAAAGTAACCTACTCTGCCGCTGGGCTGCCCGTTGATGATTTTCATTGGTGGCACCTGGCCTCCATATTTGAATTCTGAGGCAGCGGCCCGATATACGAGAAAGGTAGTGGTGGCTGAACAGCAGTTACAGCATTCCATTTCAACTTCAAAACAACCTGTGCAGTTATTATATAGAGTGATCCGTGGTGAATGGTTTGAACCAGTGTTCAACCCACGTTGAACCGGCGTTCAACCCACGCAAACCTGCGTTCAACCCCCGGTTCAACGCAGTAAAATGGGCTCAGTGGAAAGCCGCGGACGCGACCTAAGGGGGTTACCTTATACCCGGGTTCCAGGTGGGTGGGGTTGTGGAGGGGGTTAGTTCTGCACCCCCCCATGCATTTTTTTTAATGAAAAAAGAAAAAAACACGAGGGAATAAAAAATGGGACTGGGTGCGCAGCAATTCCACATGTCGGCATGCCCAGTACTGGGGGGGTGGGTGCACCGTGCACTCCCACACCACCGGGGCCCCGTTGGCAACTGGCATAAAGTTGGCTGTCACCAGGCCCAGGGCCTGGTATCTTTTGGAGCAAATACAGACACACACACACACACAAACACACACACACAAGGGGAGAGAGAGAGAGAGAGAGAGAGAGAGAGAGAGAGAGAGAGAGAGAGAGAGAGAGAGAGAGAGAGAGAGAGGGAGAGAGATCGCATGGTTGTGCCAATGTGTCACACATGGAGGGCGCACATGTGTGCGATCTCATGCGCACGTGCGAGAGAGAGACACACACAAACAAACACACACAAACAAACACACACACACACACACACACACACACACACACACACACACAGA